AGCTGCTGGGGTGCTCGCTCCCATTCTCCATTTCTCCACTGACTGCCCCATGTCAGGCCACATCTCTGGTGCCTGTGGGTTTGTTTTAAAAGTTGTTCTCTTCATGGAAAAAGAAGTGTACAGAATAATAAAAGGTATCTCCTGTGCTGTGTATTTGAGGGTGGAGTGCTTTTTGCTGGAAAGGTGAAGTGCTGTGCATGTGTAAGGGGGGGTGGGTTGTCTCTGATCAACCTCCAGCAAGTAAAAAGTAGGGGCCTCCCTTTCACCCCAAGCCCCATTTCTAACCTGTGGAGTAGCAGATAAGAGGACAGTAAATCTGATGATCATTTAATATTTATAATAAGAAGTTTCCAAATGACACCAGGTTAGTTATCTAGTGTGCTTTTCATTTTCTTTTTCAAGATGTATTTATTTCTGCATACAGAACTGGGGTACAGGTCAGAGGTGCAGGGGCTGTGAGAGGCTTCACCAGAGACAGAGTGGGGAGAAGATGGGTGAAGTCCACTGCTGAGGGGAGCAGCGGGCGGGTCAGGAGAGGTCTGCCGCGCCATGTGGGTCACTCCCTGGCCAAGGATGGAACTCCCATGCTTTAATCCATTGTGCCACCTGAGAGGGCCCTGCTTTTTCATTTCTACTGCTGAATTTCAAAGGGATCTAAGCTCCCGTTTGCACTGAGTGCCGATGTTGTTGTATGCGGTTTCTGGGGAAGTGCTCCGTGACACCTGGTGGAGCAGGGTTGAGGACTGATGGTCATTGTTTGGGGCAGGCTTGAGCCTAGTTGATGGCTTCTAATGCCATCGGCAAGAGGACAAGGCCAGTAGACAGTGACACCGTTCCCGATACTAATTCAGTCCACGTCTTCAAACATGAAGTGCTGCTCATTAAAGGTCGCACAGGAGAAAGTGACGAGGCTGATTCATGACAACAAACCTTTCTGTTCTGGAGTTAAGAGGCATCACCAGCAAGTCACGCCCACTGTGGGAGGTCTTCCCACCCCTTCTCCTGGGCTGACATTTATGAGTAGCCCCAAGGGGTGAGGCCCGGAGGCTTGGGGGGGGCGGACATCCAGCAATCCCAGCTGCCAGCCTGTCCCGGAGGCTCATAGATGTGGAGAAGCTTTCAGGAGAGCCTCACGCCAGGCGCCCAGGGGACCTTTGAATTTCCCCACCCTTCCTCTCTCGGGCCTCACTGTGCTCACAGGATGACAGATCAGGAGTTATCCTGAATGGGGGGTCACAGACGGCTTCACAGCTTCACCGGTATCAGCTTGATGGTTGGGCAACTTTGCCTTGGAAAGTTAAATGCAAATTTGCATTGTGTTTCAGGGATGATTCAGAACACCAGGCCTCAGTTTCCTTCAGGAAACCCACGTGTCTATTTGGCAGGGAGCAGGGTTATTTATACAAAGGGAAATCAAAGGCGGATGGGCTGGGGTCTGCACAGAGAGGGAATAAGGTCTCAACAAGGAGACCGTGGGCCCTAGCTTGCTTTTTTCTTTCTTTCTTTCTTTTTTTTTTAGAGATTGATTTATTTATGCATATAAGAACTGGGGTACAGGCCAGAGGCTGAGAGGATTCACCAGAGACAGAGCAGGGAGCAGAACAGGCAGAATGACCAAGTACACTGCTGAGGGGAGCATCCTGTGCCTCAGGAGAGATCTGCCGCACCTTGTGTGTGGGTGGAACTGGTGGTGCAGTGCCGGTGGTTGCAGACAGCTTGGTCATGCTGTGCTTTAACCGGTTCAGCTACCAAGGAGGGCCCCAGCTTGCTTTTCCCAACAACTGCTGCTTACCTCCGTTTT